TAATAATATACATGAAAAAATTTCTCAGTTCTGATTGGTTAAGATGAATGCAGTTTTCAGTTAATTCAGTGCAGAAGAGAGTTAATTCAGTGCAGAAGAGGGTTAACTCAGTGCAAAGAAAGAAACAAACCAAACATTCTGATTGGTCAGAATGATTGGTCAATGTCAAGGTCAATGTCAAGGTCAATGTCACTTGCAGGGTTTGAATAAATTATTTTTGCAGGTGATGCGCGCGCTTTTCTTCTGCGTAGTTATGAGAAGCTACCTCGTATTTTTTCATGTATATTATTAATACATAATCACATGATTTTTTCGTGCAATTTGGAATAAAAAAGCACTTGTAAATTTTTTTCAAAGGCCACAAATTGCACTCGCCCTACGGGCTCATGCAATTTTGTTAGCCTTTGAAAAAATTTACTCGTACTTATTTATTCCAAATTGCACTTGAAATCATGTGATTACCTATACTAATTTCATTGTTGGTATTACACTACACAATGCTTGTTGTTTACTGGTAATCTTGTTGCGGTAGATATATTTCATCAACTGGTAATGAAGAAAAGGAGACTGTTCTTGATGGTGAGTGTGGTATTAATGTGTTTCTGGACAGTGCCCCACCTGGAGGCTTGTCCAGGTCATTGTGGTTTGTTCTTCCTTGAAAAAAAATTACTTTCATGGTGTTTCTGTCAACCAAGGAATATAAATGAGTGGTGGCAAATTGTCAGGGGGGGTAATCTTGTGATGGATTGGCATCTCATCTAGGAGGGAGTAATAATAGTCATAGGTTGGAGGGACCTCACTCGAGTATATACTTTTATAACAATTCTGCTCCCAATTGCGGGCAGTTTGTCCCCTGCAAAAATGTATTCATATATGTATATTTGACACCAACAAATAGTCGTGTTCTCGTGAAGTTAAATGGATTACTCAATAATCAACAGAAAGTAAAGGGAATTGTGCATTTGAATTACCAATAAAAGTATCCGTTGTTTTTAAAACTGTGCAAATCATAGTACTGTTGTAATCTCTCTGTTTACAGAAAATGATGAAATGTGGGCAAAGCATCGTCATGAACACATTGCTGATGTTTTGAGGTACAGTTGTGCATTTTACAGATTCTACTTTAAACTTTTTGGCTTCTCTGTCTAATGTTCGGTCATAGCTTCGTTTTGGATAATCTCTTTACAAAATGGCGGCTTTCTTGTCAATCTATACGATTTTTCGGTGTTTTTTCATGGCACGAATGCGTGATTAGCATGGAGTAAAAGACATTTTTCAAACCTAATTAATAATTTTACGGGAAGGCTTTTACTCGTATATCTGAGCTAAGCTGTATTTGATATTGTGATTACTTTAACCATTTAATCACTTGTTGAAAGCTAATAGAGAGATTTAGCAGCGCGTTTACGTGAAAGGTGAACGGCAAGATTGACCACGTGACCTTTTTTATCCCGCCATTTTTACACGTTTGCCAGTGGCGCTTTGCCGTTTAATCTTCGTGAAAGTAACCATTTTCGCGTTTGCCGTGTACGTAGGATTTTATTCACTTTTTCTTTCACAGAGTAGTGGATATTACCCTTGTAAGTCATACAATAGCGCCTTCAAATCCCCCATCACCTGAGCTCACGCGAACTTAAAGCAGCAAGGTTCACGCTATTTTACGTGAAACGTGAAAGGACAAGCTGACGTTTGCCGTTTCACGTATTCTATTATACTTTTTATAGGAAGGTCAATACGCAAATTAAAGATTTTGCGACAGACAAGAAAATTTCCACTTCTAATAAGGTAACGTGTGAGATTTTATTTGATATGGATTGTACCACTTGAACCATTACAAGACGCTGCACGCTAACCATTTCTTATATAACATTGAGACTTTTAAACCTCTTTCATTTCGTGTAGATGGGAAAGTGGATCGAGTGTATTAGCCAAACAGAACGCGCGCTTTTGCAAAGCTATGTTTCAACACTGTTTGGCAGTCATGTTACTTATATAATGAGTATTTTTAGGGTAGACAATAAGGAGAATTACTAATGAGATCTTGGGATTGAAAGCCGGGTATGAAGAATATGACGAGGTTGCTATTTGGTTGATTACATCGCAGCGCGTCTTTGCTTTGTGTTTTATTTGATATGGAGGCCATTAGTTGAGCAGAACTGCACAAATTGACATCTAATTTTGAAAGGTTCCCAAAACATAGCCCATATCAGAGAAACCATTTTTTTTTTTTTCAGACAACAATGAAAGATCTGCAAGTAATTCTGAAGAAAATGCCGCAGTATCAAAAAGAAGTCAGCAAGGTATGTGCATCGGATAGTTGAGAAAAGGGTTTTTCCCCACATGTTTGAACTGCATTAAAACTTTATGAACTTCGTACCTTGAGCCGTTGACGTAGAGGTAGCCTCGAAAACGAAATTCCATTTTTTTTTCTCACAATATGCAGTTAGCCTTTTTCGAGCTCTCAGTAGGAATGAGAGAAGGAGCGAGCGCGCGAAAAACGGCGGCATTGTGAGTCGCTAAGATCAGTTTGTGGCATAGCTTTGAGAGGAAGGTAAGGTTCTCCTCGGTCTTTGTTGCTACGTGTTAGCCAACAATCGGCTGACGGATAGCCTGACTCTGAAGGTGTTACATTGAGTGGGTCGTAGTCGATACTATTGAGGCATGAAAACATCTTCCATTTTGCTGATTTTCTTGAAGTCAGGGAGAAGTACAGTTTACTTTACATTAGGGAGCTTAAGCAGGAGAGACTTCGGGGATGACGCCGCCGTCAGATTCCCGACGGCTTGGGTTTGACGTCGTCGCTCTCCCGCCAAATGTTAATTTGTTAAGCACGGATGCTGTTTTGCCAGGACACGGCCATCCTCTGTTCCTGATATACTTTTGTTTCTTCTCCGGTTATGGCCAGTTTTAAAGAGTTTCGTCAGACCCTTCTTGTCTACTACGATGCTGATCTTATTAGTGATGAGGATTTTATAATCTTATACGACTCGTTTTCCTCACGAAATCCAGATTTTGCTTATGATTCGTACGATCGCTTTGACTTGGATAACATGAACGATGACGAATGCATAGCCGAATTTAGAGCGAGGAAAAGGGATCTTCCAACACTGGCTCAAGTTCTTATAGGATTCCACTGTCATTTCAACTTTCGCAGATAAATAATTTCCTAATAAGCTTACTTACGATTTGGGGGGAGGTTTGGTGCTCGTTGCATCCTTCTCCGTGGCCATTTCTATCTTCCAAAAACTGTCTCAAAAAGGCACAAACTGCTCTTAAACTAAACTAAAAATATAATTGAACATGGATTGAAATCGTGTGAACCACATAGAAAAGTTGAAAAAAACTACAAAAGCCATGAAATCTCATAAATCCCTCACATTTCACGACGCCGTCAAATACCTAAAACTCACGTCATCGCCGCAAGGAGGACGTCGTCTGTCGGGGGTATGTCATGCGCAATGGACCTAGTCCCAGTCTCAACTGCTCATTGACGGCGGCGGCGTCTTCAAAGTCCTCCTGCTTAAGCTCCCTATTAATAAAGGGCGTAAGTTTCTAAATAAACCGTGGTGCTGCTTCGGTCAGGGAGTATCAAGGTAATTTGGTCTTATCAATTGAGTTGATAATTAACAATTATTCCACTCGCGCGCGTTGGATATGAGATGATAGATAGCCAACGAGGCGCGTAGCGCCGAGTTGGCTATAATCATCTCTTATCCAACAAGCGCGAGTGGAATAATTGTTTTATTTAAAAAAAAACCCACCAAGATATTAGACAAATCTTCTCGACTTTATTTTATAAGAAAAAACCGGCTGTTACAATGTACAGATATTAGATTATGGTATATTGGCTCATATACCATAATGGTTAAGCCAATAAAAAGTCTTGAATTGCATTATCCAATGATCCAGTTTTTAATAATGTAAATTAGCCACCGTAAAGAGTTTCAAAGCTGACGTTTCGAGCATTAGCCCTTCGTTGATTCGCTCTACCGAAGGACTAACGCTCGAAACGTCAGCTTTGAAACTCTACGGTGCCCAATTTACATTATCAGCTCAGTTGATAAAACCGAAATTGCCTTATTTTACATGACTTTGACATGGAAATCTGGAAATTGTTTTCAGTTCATTGTTCATCTACACCTGGCTGAAGACTGCATGAAACAGTATAACCAGACAGCCCTTAAGGAAATTTGTGCCGTAGAGCAGGTGGGTTTGATATAATCAGATCAGAACAAGGGTTTGTAGGACAGAGCTGCTATACCAAAAGTTAAAGTCTGAAATTTACCGCTCAAAAACTTTACTTTCCATAAACTTTTTTCCAGTAAAAGAAAAAACGTTATAAAGGTCAATTTTTTTTTCCTGTAAAAGAAACCTTATAGAATTTCCGAGGCTAATCATTATCCCCCAGTACATCAATCATTTTTCAAGGCGCACACAAGGAGCTTGGTATGTGTTTACACCCTAGGATCTTGCGACAGGAGTGGACAAAGATGGCGAAGGAATCAAAGATCCAATGAAAAGCATTGTGCCACTGCTGTTAGATGGGAATGTCCAGTACGAATCAAATTTTTTATTTATCCTTATTTGTTAAAAAGGTTTTTGCAGATCTTGCCTGTTCAAGTTGGTTGTATTTACTACTTGTGAGAACATTTACCAATTGTCCTAAACAGCATGATTCGCCCCGTCGCAATGTCTCCTCAAGTTATGTCGCCCTTAATTAAGCTCAATTCGTTCGCGCTTAAGGGTAGTTACGTCGCCCTACGTTAGATTGACTGATCATCTGATTGCTGTGCTTCTAAACTTTCAACGGCAGAGACTTCTTGTGGTTTTTCTTTTTTTTTTTTTTGCTTTCATTGCTGTCAGACTGAACTTGTGTTATTGAAACGCTTAGAACTTGAATATTTTTGTGTCGATCTGATACGGTTGATGCGACTTCTCAAAATGTTCTTTCTACTAGTCACAAAACCTTGTCATTTTCTTCACAGCATATCTGACAAAATTCGGATCATACTTTTGTATGTTATTTTCAAAAATGGTAAGTATTGAATTCTTTAAAATGGTACGAGTGGCTTTTAAATGATGTTTGTGCTTTGTAAATGCAAATTTCATTTCCCTTGTTCAGTCAAATTTGCTATTTAAAAAGTTCTTTAAATGTTTATTTCCCTCCCGCCTTGATTAGTTTCGCTATTTTGCGGGTAGGAATTATTGAATAGGTATTTTAATTGCTTAGGTTGGTGAATTTTGTTGTTGTTGTTGTTGTTGTTGTTTTTTTCAGCTACCGAATGTTTTTTCCTAAGTTGTATTCCCTTCTTTCAACAGGAATTAGCGAAGAAAACTTGGCAAAACTCTGTGAGCATGCGCAGATTCCGCCCGATTACCGGTTTGTCAACACTATTATTTGGTTTTAATTGTATTGCTTAATATTTTTTTTCGTCGTGAAAAAGACTAAAAAACCGACTAAATACGAAAATTGACCCCAGCAAATTTAAGCATGTTTTTTACCTATGGATATTGCTTGCAATGAACACTGAAAGAGGAAATATTCTCCTGAACATTGTTAATCAGAATTAAATCTGAAGAGAATCAGTGTAAATTTTCATGGATTAATTTTCGTTTCCAACGATTCAGTGACTAACCTCGCAATTCATTGTGCATTTGGATAAAGTTGAGTTTTTTTCTGTTGTTTTCAGTGCCTTAATAAAGAATATGGCGTATCTTGGGGTTCCCATCGTACAGGATGTATGTATACCTCTTGTTATGCTCTGATTGTAGGTTAAAATTTTCGTCTTTGAGCTCGCGATTTTAAGCTGTGATAATCCAAATAACATGTCGTTGCCATAGGGCGTCAAAGTTTAATGTCATCTTTAAGAGCCCTCGTCCGAATTTTGTATGTTTGATTGGAAACTACTGATTGGTTAGTTTTTCTGTGACGTAACTGAATGCAAGACTAAGTAACCTTCGGTAGTTGTGATTGGTCATTTTGGCTGATATGGATTTTTACACCCGGTTTTGATCAAGTAACTATTTTTACCATATTTATTCGCGGAAACAATGTTTTTTCTTGATTAACATAATGTTTTCTTAAATTATTCTTGCTTCAGTCTGGGGCAAGGAAAGGAGCAAAGCCGGCAAGAAAGGAACGGCAGTCTTTGTACGAGTTGTCACGTTGGGTTCCTGCCGTCAAAGATATCATGGAGGTACAGATAGTGACCTTTCTGCTCGCCTCGAGGAACGTAACCGCTGGGTGGCGAATTTCACCCAATCTCTGGTAGTTTTGTTGCTTGAGAATCTATATTCAAGCATGGGGCTGCTAAACGAGCCTGCGAGCTAGCTCTCTAGAGGCCCGCGAGAAAGCGTGCTTGGAGGCTACCGCCAAACCAGCTGCATTACTTTTCTTAAAAAAAGGAAAAAAAAAAAAAAAAAGCCTACAAAACTCCACAGAAAAAAAAAAAAAACAATAATGGTGCGCGATTGTACAGAATTCTATATTCATGCGGTGTTAGATCAAAACTCAACAACTACATGTAGTTCCCCAACACATGGCAACTCTTAAATGCTTTTCCACAGCCGGGTGTGAAAAGGTGGGTCCCTTCCTTATCAGGAGTCAGCCATGCAATGTTTTGTTAACTTTACTTTTCAAGGAAGCTGTCGAGGATAAGCTCAGCAGCACTTCGTACCCGTTCGTCTCACAACGTACAGCATCAGGGGCAATGAGCAGTAACTTAGGTACGTGAGACAAAGTTCTAACTACGTTAAGTCACGCTGTCTAGGAAGATTTCGTTACACAGAGGCTACACTATCTTACATTTTGCACACTGAAAACACCAAACATTATTTGAAAAGAGCGAAATCAAGCAGGATAGCGCGGGCACTTTAAAGTGGATTTTTATCATAATGTGCTCTTTTATTCAATGGAAGCAGTCGACCAGCCACAAATACCTGAGATGAGGCATCGTACTTGAATCAGAAGAATCGGTAGTCACAATATATGTCTGTGTACGAGATGAGCAAGTGGCCCCAACTGTCTAGTTAACAATATCGCTCAAACTCATACCGTTTTTTCCGTTTCCTTCCTCAGGTAAAGCTGTGAGGTTAGCATCTTGAATTTTGAAAAGGAAGGCGCTGTGTTCCTTTCATTTTTTTAATGTCATTGGCTTGACAGATCCACTTTGAAACGATTCATGATCAAATGGTGTTGGATGAGAACTGATCCAGTATTTTTTGTAACCATTTTATTATTATTTGTGTTGACAGCGCCCGTCTTTATGGTCACTGGCATAAAGAGAAGGTACACCATTTATTACTTAATTTTTCAACTCCAAAGACAGTTCTGGACCTTCAGGTTGCAGCTTGAACTAATTTTTTAATGTTCTCTATCAGGGCTCCACCGAAGCTCGGGCAGGCCCACGCCTCATCATCTTTATTGTTGGTGGTGTTTGTTTCTCAGAAACAAGAACGGCGTACGAGGTAAAGAAGTCTCGCCAACTTTGATGATTGTTTTTGAGAACTAGAACGTATTTTGATTGTATGTTGTAAACAGGGGGGCTGAAATCAAAGTGGTCTCAACTGTCAATCAAAACAAAGGACAAACAGCCAATGAGAATGCGCGAAAAAATTGGTTTTAATTTCAGTTTACATTTGATTGGCTGAGAGAGGAGCATGCGTTTTGTTAAGTACAGTAAAGCAAACAAACAATTTATCTCTTCGTTTATCATCAAAAAATTGTCTTGAGTAGCCTCTCAGGAACGTTTAGAAATGTTGATAAAGAATGTCGGCCGCATTGGAGAGATTCCGTCGTCGCAGATTGTTGCCGCAGATTGTCGCCTCAGATGTCCTCATGCTCAATTGAATTAAAGGCAAATTAAGGCCGTAACAGTGAGGTAAAAAGACTCTCCGAAGCTTCAGATAACTGAAAGATGTTGATTGGGCTGGGATGGTCGGTCAGGTGGGATGGACGAGGGTTGCAATTTGTCCATAATCTATAAAAATAGAGGATGTGTCCCAACTATTTTGTTGCTGGGAGCAACGATGCGGAACTCTTACTCGTTACATTTTGACTCTCCTGTCCCCATTTTTGACTTTTAATCTCAAAATGAACTGACTACTACTGGACTGCGAATTCTTGGTTCAGTAAAAGAAACTCAACTTGTGTCTTTGACCTGTAGGTAACTGCTGCGAAAAAGGATTGGGAAGTGTTAATTGGTAAGTGACCCTCAAATTCTAACGGCATCCTTAATGCAAGATTGCGGATCGCTGCAAATTACTGCCTCGTTTGAGGTGTTTTCAAACTCACTTGACACCCACTGACGAAGCTGGTAAGATATTAAGCGCTTAGTAGCTAGAGATGCTTTGGGTGTGTGTGTGTGTTTGCTGGGAAAGGGAGAGCGTTTGAATAGTCGACCTCAGTAAAGTATTGTCAGTTTTTTCAAGTGTGGTCTTTACCATGTTTATTATTACATGGCACAGGCTCTACCCACATCACAAATCCAAACAGTTTTCTGGCCTCATTAAGAGAGTTGGCGGGCTGAACATAAAACATGGGTAAGTCAGCGTTTTCTTAACTGGCATGTTTGGAATGCACAAACCCTCGAGAGAAAAATAACACACACAAAAACAATTAATTGATTTCGTTTACAGTGTCCATAGCTGTAAAATGGAGAACGACACTACAGCTATTTCTGTACCTGGAGCAAATTTGAGAATAGAATAACTACCTCCTCCCGGTTAGCTCAATTGGTTAGAGCGCCGGATTGTGTTGTGCAAGAGGTCGAGGGTTCGAGCCCCGGCCGGACCGATACTCATGGTCTTAAAAAAAGTGAGGAGAATTTGCTACCTTTCTATAATCAAGAAATGGATAGATATTCTAGTCTTCTCGGATAAGGACGAATAAACCGTAGGCCCCGTCTCCTGCAGGGTTAGGGGTAGGAGACGTTAATTTCCCACGCACGAGATTACTGTGTGGTGGATGTCCTCCCCTGGG